GCACTTCTGATTAGACTCCCACCTCCCCACCCCAGATGTGGTTAGAGATAGCTGCTTCCCTCTGGAAAGAGGCATGGTCTCTATTAGAACATTAGAACATGCTGACAACTACCAAAGCTGTCCATCATATGCAACTTGACTTTTTAACGGAGTGCAGTAATGAGCTCGTTTCTCCTCTCCTTGGAGTGTGTGTGTGTTTGAGGAGGGGCAGTGATGAGGAAGAGTAGGTGGCTAGTACATTGTTGCATAGGGAGAGGGGGAGAGAATGCCTCCTTTCCGCCAAAACCAATTTGCCCCTCCCCACCTCCACTCTTCTCTGTCTTGACAGTTATAGGATTCCCCATGTGCCCCAGCATCAGTATCACTAAAGGCACATCAAACCATTGCCTGGTGTGCACCCCCCTAGAGCCCATCAGGTAGAGGTGGGGCTATGGCAAGAGTTTCCATAGCATCCATGGGATGGGGGCAGGGTAAAGAGGTGGAGAGAGTAATGAAAGGGCGGGGCTGGTGGGAAGTCTGTCGGGTGTGCACGGTGTTTCCCCAGGTCTGAAATGCAGGGGTCAGAGCACGCACTTGGCCTGAAAGATGGGGGGCTCTCTGGGTCTCCGGAGCAGGCCACTCAGGATGGAGATCAGCATGTAAACCACTCACTGCACCAAGTTGATTCAAGGCCAGAACGTTTCTCCAGATCTTAGAGATAAACCTTCCAAGACACTTCTGGCCTAAATGGCAGCTTCCTCTTCAGCCAAAAATAAATGCGGAGTAGCCAGAGGGCAGAAGAGGAAACAGAAGGCAGGGGAGGAAATGAAAGGTTGAGGAGGATAACACGCAGAGGTGAAATGAAACTCTGCATCAGGTTCCTGTTTGGGAAAATGTGGTTCTCCTTCTGGGAGCCAGACAAGACTCTTAGATTTGGCTCAGGGAGAAAAGTGAGAGATGAGACACAAGCAAAACAAGATGCCTGCAGGTTGGAGCAGCGAAGGGAGGACAGCGGCTGAACAGAGGGAAACAGGTCTGGTCTACAGTGGAGCACTAGGCCCTCAAGTGGGCTTGTTCTGGGTACGGACACTTTCGTGGGACCAACCTTCTGAGGCTGATTTCAGAGGAAGTGAGTCACTGAACACCCTGCTATACCCTAGCAAGTTTGTCCTTCCATCCTCTATGTCATAGCATTCTCTGATGCTCAGAGTTCCAAAACAAGGGCTGGAGAAGGACATTGCTTCAAAATCTACACAAGCATTTCCCTGGTTACTAGTTCCACGAGATGCCCTATTCAATGAAGGAATGAATGAACCATTTCCTGGTCAAATGAGATTAGGGGATGCTGCATTTTAATCCGCTGCAAATGAGACTAGGGGAGGCTGCATATCAATCTCCTTTTGGAGATTCACAGAACAAGTTAACATAGGCTCTCAGAAGTCCTGTGCTAAAGGAATTTAACATGTCATTTTTCAAACTTACCTGACTGAGGACAGGCCTGCTATATTAATATTGCACAACAACATAGACTATGTGAATGGTACCCCCGGATTAAACAACCTATGTGGCCCTATAGGGTGATCCTTGCCATGGACTTTTTTTTTCCCTTTAAGTAACACCTATTAGCATCTTAAGAGATTCTTGCATTCTATGGAACACAGATTTAAGATAGATGTTTCGGAAACACCGGATTAAGATAATGTCTTGCTCAGTATGAATATGCAAATAGCACTACTTTTACAGCATAAATGAGACAAAAAGTCTGAGGGGCGTTAACTTGTGCCAATGCACTCATCCATCCATCCTGCCTGGAACCCATAAAATCCTTTTGCAAGATGATTTCCTGAGATAAAGATGCAGCTGTGGTCACAGACAGAGGATGAGATTAGCTTGCATGAGAATACCATCCCAAGACATGGTTTTCTTAGCTCAGTACTTTAAGGCGCTGGTTCTCCTTTGATGGAAGTCAATTCTGGTATTGGCAGGTGGTAGTGATGCTCCATAGTCCTTTTAAAGGTTTAAAAGCCTCTGATATGCAGTACTGAATATGTATGATGAAGAATTCTTGAATGAAAATAAGCATCTTAGAACTGCAAAAGGACTGAAATGACCTCCTGGACCTGTTTCCAATCTCTTGAGTAGTTAATACCCTATGAATCTTCAGTGTTTTTTGGTTTAGATTCTAGAAGAGCAGTTCCCAAACTTTGCTGCACATTAGAATCAAGCTTTTAATTCCGATGCCTGTGTTGCATCCCATTCCAATTAAATCACAGTGTTGTGGATGGGAGCCAGGCATTTGAATTTTTAAAAGATCCCCAGTAATTCCAATGTGCAGCAATGCTGAGGGACTGCTGGTTTAGAAGCACTTTGATTTCCAGACATTTTGTTGTAAAAACCGTGCCTCTGTGAGAGACGCAAGACAGGAATTCATCCTCATCTCTTAAGTGAGATCACCGAGGTCCTAAGAAGTTAAGGATCATAATCAAGGTCACAAATTTGTGTCAGGTTTCAGGCAAGTGTCACTCCTTTGAATTTATTTAAGTCAACCAGCACATCAGACTAGATTCGGGAAATGGTGGGTTAAGAGGTTGGGTAGGGGGGGTGGGAGGAGCTGGGCTTGAAAACCAAGTGGATTGAACATGGGCCTTTGTGCCTTAGGAGAAACAAGAAAACCACTTCAATATTATGCCTCCTGCCCCTCCCATCAATGCTGTTTCTGTCTGTAGACTGCTGGTTTGCATTTCATTTATAGGGAGACAAAATGGAACCTTTGTGCCAGAGTTGAAGGAAATTATAAGAGCCCACAGCTTGTCTTCAGACTTAATGTCAACTATTTGTCTCCTTTTATTTTCAAACAAACAAGTCCTCCCCATGAGTTTTGAGGCTCTCTCAAACATTATCTCCTTTGGTTTTATAGTTTCCTACTCCCTAAATCAACAGGTATAAGAAAAACCTACCAGTCTATAGAATTGTCCTGTCAACCATGGAAGACTCTTGTAGGAGTCCAGCAAGACACAGTGAGAGGCTTTGAGCAAGATGGCGGGTCATACAAATGTACACTTGTGTTGAAACAAAGAATTTTCTAATAACTAGGCTTCTTTGAAGCTTCAGGGTTCATTAACTAGAAACTTAGAAGCAAGGGTGAATTATCCCAAATTCTCCAAATATCACCAGCTCAAAACATTTTTCCACCATCTGACATGACTGATTAATGCTATTATATGTATGGGGAGAAGTACAAACACGTTTCTAACAGCTCTATGAATGTGTAAGATAAGTCAAGAACTCTCTTTCATTGGAGGTGGACAAGCATGGGTGGGTGACCACTTGGATGACATATTCTACATTACTAAGGACTTGGAATGGATGACCTGAAATTCTGAGATCCTATGGTAGATATTAGCAAGAGAAATAAGATGCTTCAACTTCCTTTTTATTATTATTATTGTTACATGAAACTGTCTCTAGGTTAGAGGACTCTGAACGTTATTTCTTCCCTAGCCTCAAAAAATGATATTGTGAATTCTTCTAAAAATGTATTGTCATGGAATATTGCCACTAAGACAACAGTAGGGATTTGTAAGGCTTGGATCTAAGTAGGTTTGACAAAAACTAGCTTTTTTTTTTTCTTAAGAGTATGAATGAATCTCCAGAATGTTATCCTTTGTTAGGTGTGTTATAATAAAATGCTGACATTGTGAATAATTTACTTTAAATATAGTGGAATTTAAGGTTGCTCCTGCCAGTAAGACACTTACTTGCATTCCACAATGATTCTTTGATTAGGAGAAAAAAGGGGTGGAAAGGCTTGGAAGTGCTTGTCTCAGCGGAGTGATTCACATGTGAGGAAGCCAGCCCTCGTGTATGTTGCAGCTGAAAGAAAGATTTAGAACCATTATGCAGTCTAAACCAGAGCTACTCAGAGTATGGTCCTCAAACCAGCAGCATCACCTGGGAGTTACTTAGAAATGCAAATTCTCAGGTCCTTAAAACAGACCTACTGAATCCAAGCGCCTGGGGTGGGACCCAGTGCCTGCGTTTCAACAAGCTCTCCAGGTGATTCTAGTGCTCGAAGTTTGAGAAGACTGCCCTAGACTGAGGGTTCTCAAAATGCGGTCTTCTGACTAACAGCACCAGCATCACCTGGGAATGTGTTAAAAACCATCGGAGACTCCTTTTCACTGGGCATTGGCAGGTGAGAGTGGAAATGCTCCATGGAACTTTTAAATTTCAAAAGAGACAGAGATGGTAAAATGGAACATATAAAAGAATGAATTCTTGGATGCGCATTTTCCAGTTTTAGAATCGGAAAGGAACTGAAAAGATCTCTTGGAGCTCTTTCTTATCTCTGGGAAGTTAATAACAAAACCTTACAAATCTTCAGCCCTTGGTTGAGAATGCCGGTTGCCGAATCGACAGCTCTAGAGGTGGGGCCCAGGAGTCTGGGTTTTAACGAGCCTTCCAGGTGGATGCACCCTCAAGTTCAGGAATCACTAGATCTCAGTTAGCATCTAATTGCTCACATGCTTGGCCACGTAGAGCATTGAGACCTTCCTGTTTCAGCCTGGGTTGGGGGCCCTGCGGTTGGCTCCTGGCAGCTGCCCATCTCTGCTACACCCTCCCCCCAGTGCCAGGCTGAGAAGCACAGCCCGGAGCGCAGGAACTCGGGACACTTACACTGGGACTCTGGTAGAGAAGATGGTGCAGTTTTGAAGTGGGGACATTTCTTTCATCACCTTTTTCCATGGTCCAACCTCCACACAGCCCCCAGGCCTGCCCAGCACTCAGTCCTTGAAAGCTCGGAGACCAGAGAGCAGAAGGCCTAGAAACTGACATGACTCTCGTGCCGGGCTCACCAGCCTCTCGCCGGTTCTCCAGGAGGCTCATCCTCTTCTCTGAGGGCGGGGTCATCTGAGCCTCTTGCAGAGACCTTCGCCCTGGGGATCCCAGGGTGGCTGCTAGTCCCTTTCTTCTCAGGTGCCTGTGCGGTGGCCCTGGCTAACGAGTGTACTTTCCCAAAGGTATCTGGACCTCCGTTGTGAAGAGCTCTCTAAAAATGGAGAGGATTGATGCAAGAATGATGAAGAAAGACAAAGGTAGGGCTTGGGACCTTCACAGTGGGAGCTCCTGCTGCGGGTCTGGCTAAATTTGGAGGATGTGGGGGCGGGGAGACAAAGAGGTGGGGCTCAGGGGCTGGCCACTCGTGTTACCCTCCTAGAGAGGGTGTGGCCGGTTGGGGAGATGGGAGAGGGCTGCTGCTCCTTTTGGTGCAGTTGGTTCTAGCCTTGCCTCTGCCAGACCCTAGCCAATGTCCTAACCTTCGAGATCTGTGAATTATGCATTTGCTCTGAGGAGACAGCAATGAACAGTCAAGTCTGTTCTTGGAAGCTTTGATGCACGTTTCCTAGTGAGAGATGATGTCACACATCCTGCTTTCCTCAGGCGGAATACTGCATGGCTCTTACAGAGAAGTGGAACCTTCTGCAACACACTCTATACTGACAGATGAGCTCCAGCCCTGTACATCCGTGAGGGCAGCCTGGGAATAACTGTATAACATGCATCTTCTCTTAATTATCCCCATTTATCATGTTTTTCATGGAATTCAGGTTGAAGATGGCAAGATGAACCTTTTGATTCCCTTGCTGCCCAAATTCCTACTAAAATGACTAAAGATATATAAAATTAGGGGACATATGCACCACGTGAGAAATAGGGGAAGGTGGTGCTGCAGGAGAGAAAATCTGAGGCCTTTCTGCTGGAAAGACTGAAGTTGCAAAGGGAAGAAGGAAGGACTGACCTGCCCATGATTTGGTGTCTACAAAGGAACAGGCTGCTTGGGAAATAGTGGGGAGAATTGCTAGTAAAGCTCCCCCGACCCCAAACACCCCAAACTTCTGGCCAGCAGCTCTAGTGAAAAGCTTACGGATTTCTGAGCCAGTTAGATTTGAGTTCAAACCCACCCTTTGCTAGTTGTGCAAGTTTCTCAGTCTCAGTCTCATCCTCTATTAAATGGGGGTGATTCTCCTTATAAGGTGTAACAAGGATTAATGAAATAATACAGGCAAGGAGACAAAGCCAAAATGTTCATAATTACGATTTACTGATTACTACATGCCAGATACTGGGCTAAAAGATTTATATATATTATTTCCTTTAATCCACAAGAAAGCTCTATGAAGCTGGTCTTATTCCAATCACCATTTTACACACGAGGCAACTGAAGTCAAGCAGGGCCACGAGCCTCGCTCACGGTCACAGCTATTAAGGGGGTGGAGAAGGAATTTGAACTCAAGGAGTCTACATGCAGAGCCCATGCTTTCAAGCCCTAAACTCTACTGTTCCAAGACCTTTAAGTACATTATTTAATCCTTACAATAGCTTTATGGTAACCATTTATATTGGTGAAAAAAACACAAGTTCAGAGGTTAAACAATTTGATGTTCTACAAAGATCTGAAACCAGCCTGCTTGCCTGCAGGCTCTCGCTCTCTACTGTCAGGCTGTTGTCTAATTGTTATACTCTATGGAATGTCGTTCTGCCTCCTGATTTTGGATTAGACTTTAATCCCACTGCATACAAGGGATGGAAGGGCTACTATGCATGATGGAGAGAAATTTAAAATGTAGTTCCAATACCCTCTAACTCTTTGAAGAATTGAATCAGTGTCTGTGAGCCTCTCAATTGCCTCTATTTCTCTTTGCTGGTAGGACTCACAGAAAACATTGGGCTTCCCCTGCATCTGCTTGAAAAACATAACCCTTGGTCAGCCTATGTCACATATACCTCCCCAATGGTGAAAAGGCTGATTGAGAAAGGCAAAGCTAGAGAGATGGAATGCACGCAACCTCCGGAGGAAAGCCGACGGACATGGAGGCAGAACAAGTCTTTCAGCGTCATCCAGCTGAAAAGGAAAAAGTCATCCAAGTCCTCTGGCGACACGGTGTTCAAGGACACGAGATCAGAGAACATGTTATCGGTGTGGGGCACTTACTCTGCATCGGCCATGGGGCCCACCGTTATCCCAAAACCCATCCACTTTCGTATGGATTCCAGAGAAAGTCCCACTGCAAACTATAACAAGATCGTCTTTGCTCGAAAACCTATGATGAGGATGCTTCCGTACAGCTCACTCCTGGCCAGCAAGGAGAAACGTCCGAATGTTTAGCCGGGAGTCCCTGCAGCCATCCCTCAAGATTGTACAGCAATTAATCTCCATTTGCCACAAATTTCACTGTCTGTTATATTCGAACTCGTCCCTGCTTGTGCAGAGGTTGGCTGAGATAAACCAGATCAGAAAGTGGGCCCTGGGTGGGTGGGTGCACTCCCTCCAGCATCGCAGTCAGATGGGGTTGGGAAGCCCCAGGCTCCAGTTCCGGCCATAGGTGCTTAGGAGCTAACTGGGTGAATTAGTCCCGGGCCAGGCGGGAGACAGAAATCACACCAGTTATTTTACCAGAGATAACTTAATACAAAGAATTATTAACCAGGTAACTGAAAAGGCAGCAAGAGAACACAAAAGTGTTAGTGGAGGAAGAAGCGGTTACCACCCCCAAGGCTGGGGGAACAAAGGGGAAGATATTGGATTTATTAAAAGTTAGATGCTTGGAGAAGGGGCATGTGGGCTGAATCTCAGACTTCTGAGCTGGGGGAGTGAGGATGCTCCTCAGCTGATGCTGGTATCTCTGAGCTGAGAGGAGAGTCCTTGTGGGGATGGTACCCCTGCCTCTGAGGAGAGGACTCTATTTGGCTGAAGTTGGTCTGTGAGTGTTGGGAAAACCGAAAACTGGACTCAAATGCTTCTGGAAGGAATTGGCTCTGCCTGAATGAAGAAGCAGGTTCGCTAGAGGAAACAGACAGGGACTGAAAGCCAATAGAAGGTAAACAGGAAGCAAACCAGGAGCAAGTTCCTTCTTCCTCCTGCAGTCTCGCAGGCTCCCTCTAGCGCCCTCTATGGGCAAAGCCCATCGGGGAGGAAAACAGGAAGGTGGTTTGCAGGGTCCCAACACCAGCATCTCAAAGCATAGTATATAAGGATGAACTTGAAGCCAAGACAAAATTAGCTTAATAACAAGCATGGTGGGATTCTGAGTGATCCCATCGTAATGCTCCACTTGGCACCTGAACCTGGTATGGAGATGTTTTTTCCTTGGAGAGTTTACAAAGTGGCGACGGGTGTCCAGGTGTCCCCTGCTGAGAAATGAAGATATTCCCCCTACACTTCTTTAAGGCTTGCCTTGTGGAGCAGAGTTGTGGGGGGGAGAAGTTCCTGGCTAGACTCCAGCTGTTACTTGTCAGACCACAGCTGGAATTAGTTCAGCCATGCTCTGAGCTGTTCCCAATTGGCCCCAAAGCAAGTGATGGTAAACTCAGTCTCGAGGCAGACAGGCTTTGTTTTCAGATGCAAGGGGGCTCTGATTACGATGGGCAGACCCAGCCAGTCTCATATTTGGGGTTTATCTATTGAGCATGGCTCCATTGGTGGCTTTTCTTTTCTTTGACCTCACCTGAGTTTCTCTGTTTATATTTGTGAAGCAGTTAATACGCATCCCGCTTCTCTCACAGAGATGTAGAGAACGCGATGTGCTAGTTGCTATAAATGCCATTTGAAGAAGTTGAATTTGCCCTACACATGCATTCTCTCCATCCAAGAGTCTTGCAGAAGCTTTTGTACTCACTCTGGCTGCTGTGAGTTGTATTGGGACAGCTGTACAAATTAGGAGCTCCAGACTCATTCCCGCGTTCCCAGCTCTTGGCCAGAAAGAATTCTTGCAAAAATATAGGTGGTTTCCAGTGAATCTGAATGACTGTATTTTGTGTCCATCGAACATTTATAGACATGGAAGCAGGTGAAAAGAATTTCCAAAAAGAATTTTTATCCTTTTATGGGAGTTTATAGCCAGAGTATATGTGGGAAGCTACGGGTTATGGAGCCTCATCGACTGTTGGAGTTTATAGGGATTCAGGAGTATTTTTTCCAATCCCTTTGAGGGCAGAGCAATTACAGATTTTTTTTTTTAATTTCTAGGTGTTTAATAGTTTTTATAAGTATATACTCTCTAAATTAAAACAACTATCTTATAGATAGCATTGTTTAGATTAATTTAATTCTCAGCTTATTATAATAACAGAAGCATGAGCCAAGGACATTAACACCTTATGTTGTGATGAAAATTGCTTGCATCTGTGACTGCAGTCCAGTCGTGTTGCCTCCTGAGGGAATTTTAAGAAAGAAAAAGTCTAATTCCCTTTGAAATGAGGGACTCTGTTCGAGCCCAAGCTGGGGTTCACAGGTCTGGCCACCGTGGGGAGTTGACCAGCCATGACTCTGCATGAGGACTGGGGAGGCTGCTGGAAAATAATTCTGCTGGGGAAGAAGCAGTTGCCCAAGACCAGCTGGACCCAGTAAGGAAGCCTTGGTCACTGGGGGAAGGAGGGTAATCCTGAGTAACCTGTGGGTGTCTGCAGCTTAGATTTGTCTCCTGGTCCAGACCTTCTCTGAGCAAGGGATCTTTTGCTAAAATCCTGGAAGGCCCTGTGGTACCAACAGAAAGTGGGGCGAGAGCTTCTTCTTGGCTTCACAACGCACCAGCATGCAAGGTGCCCGTGCCCTGGGTGTGGACAAGCAGCAGCCAGGTCTGGTAGGTCCCAGTGGACACGTGGTAGGACCAGCTTTGTTCATAAGAACCTGCGAGACATCCCTGGTGCTCCCAGAATAGGTGTGGAGCCCTTCCGCGGGCCTCAAGTTTCACACTGCCGTGGAGTGGAATGTGGACCATTCCTAATGTAACCTCATCTCCCTGTCCAAGCTGGAGGAGCCTGGGGTGTCTCAGGTTACTCTGAACATATTGAACTTCCATCTCTCAGAGGGAACTAGCTTCCTCCGATGTTCCACAGCCCACAACTTCTTTTTATTTATCTCCTCAGCATCTGGAATTTTCTGTTTGGCAGGAGAGTTGTTTCGATTAGTCTCCCTGCTATAGTAGGTTTATGAAACACCAGAATATGTATTTTGTTGGCCCTTCTGTGTTCTGTAACTAAGGCCCCGTTCTGACACGTATCGAGTAGCTGTTTTTGAATAAATTCTTTGGCTCCCCAGCACAATATGGTATTTACCCATTTGCAAATTCCACAGTTGGTGTTTAAACAGTTGATGTTTAACCTCAGCAGCATGACTGAGCCTGCTGGTCATTTTGACTCCAGTGGGGCCGTAAGCACATCAAACAGTTCCACATTCTGCAGCACGCCAGCCATGGCTGCGGAGCACGTCTTAAAGGAGATTAGGCTGCGTAACAGATAAGAGGCTGCAGGAAAGTCCTCAAGGAGATGACTGCGTGAACCTGCCAGTGCAGGTGTGTGCAAGCCAGATGTTTGGGGGTGGCCTAGGAGCCCTCCAACTGGAATGGAAGGCCAGCTGTGACCTAAACATCAAGGCCTTCGAGAACTGTGGACATTATTAACAGCACATGTGACTAGCACAGCATGATCAGCAAATCCTATTCTTTGATTTGTTGGCTCAAGAGCCTGATGTAGTAGACACCAATGCCTCCCAGTCCCCTTAGTCTTTTTTTTTTAGGACAGGGAGCACGAAATGGGTACCTGAGGTAGGAATTTTGACCCTTGGGCTTTGATGGGTGTCTGCAGAGGTAGCTGAGAAGTCACATGGAGCAGGGGATACAGCACAGGAATCCCAACCAGGGGCCAACGGGGTGTCTGTGGAGACAGAACACAGGAGCAGGAATCCCAGCCCCGCAGCCTTGTTCTCTGTGTCAATCGTAAAAGTGCATTGTGAGATGTGTGTGAGCAAATGTACTCATCTAGACAGTGTGGCTCTTCTCAGCCCTGGCTGAGCCATTCATTCCTAGAAGCTTTTTGGAATCCCCACCCTTCTGGAGTGACAGGGCACTTTATCATCACCAGATAAGAGAAGACGGAAGGAGAGCCGGGGGAGGAAAGTAGACAGAGACCAGAGACTTACTCTGATCCCCCGACTAAAGCTCAGGCCTGGGTTTACGTGTGTCAAGTAATCAGGAAATCCTCCCTCTTCCTCCTTCACTACCCTCCCCTCTCCTCCCATCTCTTACCAGGGGCCCAAAGACTCAGTCAGCTACTTAGGTATTTGGAAATCACATGACAATGTCCTAAACCTGTAGGGCATGGCTGGGTGGGCCTCTTCCTGGCACTGAGTGGGATTCCTCTAGGGCATTAGGGGTGGGGGGTCAGGCAGGGTCAGCCTGAGCAGGAACACCTCAATTTTAGGTGGAGCCCCCTCCCACCCTGTATACTGTGCCTCGATCCTTACTGTGATCCGATTTCCATGTGGGACAGGGCAGGATAAACAGTGTCATGAAGAGGACATTGGACTTGGTGTCGAGACCCTGTCTCTTCTCCCAGCCTCTACATGCCAGGGCAAATGAAAATTCCCACACCACCTGAGGCCTTTCTAGGACACTTATATTGCTAGGGCCCAGCAAGTCTCAGGGTATCAATTTACTTCCTCTCTAGATTCAATTGTTCAGCCACCTAGAACGTTCCATTACTTTTGGTAGACAAGGGCTGTGAGAAGCCACAACATTTCAGGCAAGTTAGAAACCCGCCTCTGTGGAATCGTTTCTGTGTGTCTGCCAGTTGGGAGGATCTTTGTGGAAAGTAAAATTAGTACCAGAGAAAGTTGCAGCTGGAAGGAAGCTCGCCCTAAGTGTGCCAGGCCCTCCGCTCACACCTTCGTGTGTTAGAGTTTGTCCACGTCTCTTTTACTGCCCATAGGCCTCTCTCCTTGCTTACCTGGCTGACTAGCTAATGCTGAAGCAAATGAGCCCCCTTGGGATTGCAACCCAGGCTCTCAGCTCCAAGTCCAGGCTGCTTCCCCTATGCCCAGGTCCCCTCCTCCTCCTCCTCGGTTTCACCAATGGCAGTCCTGCTGGTGTATCCTCAAGTAGGGCAGATGTGTCTGGCCAGTGGCTGCTGGCCCACAGCTTCCACCATGGCACCTTCTGTTGTGAAGTGGCTTTATTAGAAGCCCCTCCTCATGTGGCACACTTACCCGGAGCCAATTCCCTGTGTGCCGCCGGACCCGCAGAGTTAGGATGGAGAGTCTGAAAGTCCATGAGATGTGGACAAGGTCAACTGTGTTCACCATCATATTCCCAGAGCCCGGTCCACAGCCTGGCACATGGTGTGTGCTCAGCTGTTTACTGAGCGAGTGATTTACAGCAGGAAGTCCTAACACCTGAAGCAAAACACACTGGGAAGAGGTGGTTTCTTTCATAATGTCCAGAGGCTG